GGCAGGGGGCCCTCTACTATATTCGCGCGAATCGCAATTAGCTAAATGCTTACTAAGATATACTTACTCCCTAATGGTTAATCCTCGCAAGCAAGGTATAATTACAGTACCGCAACTTTGTTGTCTTAAGGTTTATCTATTATTTCCATCCACCTCTTCAATTTGCAAATCGGCGAAGGCACCCAGATAAAAGTCAAATCGTTTCGCAAAAATGTTTATAATCCCATTCCGTATATATTAAACATGATAAATTGTATACCAACATAATTGTGTTATAAAAATCAATGACAATTAACGCGTGTGCTCCGCGTTCGATGTGGCGAACGCCATTTCCAGCCGTAATCTCATTTGCAGCGTGCTGGGGGACTAGATCTAATTAGCGCGGAAAGCTGTTCGGAAATTACTACGATTAATCAATCCATTTCTATTCCGGATATATTTCTTTAAATCATTGCAGATTTTATTTACAAAAAAAAATCCGCACAATCGGAAAATCGTTACAGTATGCACTATTCCTATTGATAGGAATTTATTAGTTACACACATGAGCAGAAACTATAAAAGGTTTACGACGAATATTGATTGTGTAATTTTAATTTGTTAACAGTTTTTGGTGTGGATTACAACCCATAAATGTCGTTAGTTATTATTCGATTTTAATTGATATCGTCAATTTTTATTTATTGCTAAGGGAATAAATCAATGCGCGCTAAAATAGTATACCAAGCAATTTTTTATTGATACTAATTTCCACCAATAGACTTTAGAGAAGCCAATATAGAGTTGCAAGGACGCTCAGGACCCCCACGACGTCAACGTCAGTCTCAGAAACTCTTCATTATTAAAAGGAATATTGAATAAGTGCATTTTATAATCGGTTTGCAAAGAGAACTGAAATTCATTCATTCGAATTCTGTACGCTGCTGGTGCGTCATACCTTCTAGTTGGTCATTATTAAAATTAAATCGTTTTCCCAAACCGGATCAAAAGTTATGGTTTAACATTTGGTCCCTAGTCAATTTCATTTTGGGATTGCTTTCATCGTTTCCGGAGACCATTCTTGATCCACTTGTTTCGGCTCATATTTCTTCAATTTTTCTTTCTGATATTGTGGTTCTCCGTCTTATCAATCTTTTTTGGTATTTCCAGTTCCAGATCGATGCAGTTTACATTCCTTTCTTCTTCAGTTTTTGTCAAGAATCTCGATTTCTGTAAAATGCAGTCAGCCTGCTGCGGTGATACTTTCATTCATTCATTCATTCTAATTAAGTTTGACAAGCTAACCATAGCATTGTTTGCTTTTTGTCAATGTTATGCTTTGTAATGCGTCCTCCACTTCATGCACCGTCTGGTACGCTTTATGCCTTTTGGACGCTAGGAAATATTTCTCTTTTTATCCCCGCACGTTAGTAAAGGACGTAGGTATTGCATTGGAGTAAAACTGCTTCCCTCCCCATTTTTTGACATGTGTTGAATGGACCAGGAATCCGATTGAAACAAAATCTCGATATTGCCGGTCGGTCTCTCTGTACCCTCATTTCCCGCTAAATGGCTGAAGCGATTGGAACCCAATTTTGTGCACATATTCTGAACGGAAGGAAAAGTTGAAAAGCTTCTAAGCAGAATCGCGATTTTTCTAATAAATTTTTCGTGTCGTGGAGGTGCGGATCGCTTAAATAAGTAGGGCGCAGCTTTTCGGCTGATTCATTTCAGGAAACATTTTCTTACGAATTCAAGACTTAGTCGGTCGATTTATGTCAAAGTTAAGTTCAGAGCTCTATGTGAAAGGGTAGTTCGTCAGTAATTGAGTTCCGTTTGACAGGCCAGTTTAAGAAGACATGTTGATCACAATATATAGGTGACTAATCTATTGTTCACGCTTAGATAACGGTTGCTTCATATATTCCTCATCGTCAAAAAGTGATCTAAAACTACTAAAGATAGTCCACAACACAGCCTTTAGAATATGCCTTGGTGCATTCAGAACCAGCCCTGCCGAAAGCATGTACATTGAGGCCAGTGAGCCTCCTCTCTGGCTTAGGCGACAACAACTTCTTCTAGCTTACTTTGCCGGAGTATCCGCCAATCGTCAAAACCCACTTTTTCTGATGATCAATCCTATTCCCAGACTCTCCCATCCATCTCAAAACCCTATCCCATTACCTGAAATGCTCCCGCCGCTTCTCGCTAATGTTGACCTTTCTAAAACATTACCCAATCCAGTAGCAATAGACCCTCCTTGGAGAAAAACAATTCCTACTATCGACACAACACTTAGCACACTTCCAAAACTCAAAACACCACGTGAGATCCTTAGACAGACATTTACTGAATTGGTTACCAAGAATCGCTACGACACAGTCCTTTATACTGACGCTTCGAAAAGCGAACTTGGCGTTGGTTGTTCAGTTGTCAAAGCCATAATTATTTAAGGAAAACATTGATCAATTTTTCGAAGAAATAATTTTTTCAATTAAGATGGTAAAAATAAGTGTAATTCTCCATTGCTACCTCCGGTGAATAACTGGTACCTTTAATTCGACAATGTTTAAAATGTGTATCATGTTAATTATTTACAACCACTTTAAACATTGATGCTAATAAGCTGTACCGTGTGTCCAATTTTGGTTGAGGCTGCAGTATATCTCGGCAGTTTTTCAAGATAGAGACCGCAAACAGAATCAATCTAATTACGTTTGTTTCTTAGATGCAAGGTGAAAACAAAAAGTTTGACTTTTCGAGATGTTATTATATCTTGCTGTCCATATACTATTGGATTCATGAAGATTTTTTTTTATTATATGCCAACCAATCAATAAAAATCGCTGACGGTAGAAGCATGTAATTTCAAAATTTTGAAAAATAATATATAATAATATAAATAGTTTGGGATGCATCAATGAAATCAGGAAAAAATTGACGTAAAGATATACATGGTGTTGCATTTAAAAAATACCAACTTTGGATCAAATCTCAAAAACGGTGGTCCAAAATTTTTTTTGCTACGCCACTGGATCCCACGTAAAGATATGTAACATAGACAAGGTTTAGCCTTTTGTTATCTTACATGCGGAGTAAAATACGATAACGTTCCAAAAGTCGTTTTCGTTTTCATCCTGTCTTTGAAAAAAAAAACGTAGTTAGATTGATTCTTTTTGTAGTATTAAAAGTTTCACAAAGAAGTGGCACAAAGCCGCAAGTCTCTATCTTTAAAAACAGCTGAGATCAAAATAGCAGTCTCAATCAAAATAGGACACACTGCGCAGCACTACACGATATCACTGAAAGTCAAAGTGAACTTCGTGTTAATTTTGTAATTGACTTTGACAGTTCGCCGGTCCTGATGAAATTCATTAGTGGGTTATTGTATTATTCATGGATAGTTAATTAAAAATTCATATAAGTTTCCACTGCAACGTTTAGTTTGCTTGCACTTGGTATAAATGAACTCCGACATTTTTCGTAATCTCTTTTGTTATGTTGATTAGTTCTCCGGTAACCTACCCATTGGTAATCTTCGAACTGTCCTTTTCTGTTATATTCACTACACCTGTGGAATACATATCCTTTTACAGATAAGGCTAAGGGTAAATTTTTATTTTTTTTATTTTTGCTCTGAGAATCCGATCTTCTAATGCCTACCCGTGTGCCACCTCGTTCATTCTTTGTTAACGCACAAGGCAGGGCAAGCCGACAGCTTGCAAGGGAGGTCCGCGTCTTAGTGGAACCAGAGGCGTATGGATGTTAAATATTGATGCCTCACTAAAAATGGTGTGAATATGAAATCTCTCGTTTTGTTCATTATAACGTAATTCGTTGGCGTGTTTCCTTGTTATCTCGTGAGGGCGTGTAAAGACATACAATCGCTTTCGTAACACTTTTCACACAAGTTGGTTAAGGAATTTGATATATATGACGTTGATTTCTTTGGACTGCCAACAAACGCCTTCTATGCACACCTGGAAACTTTTATGATGAATGCTACAACCAGTTGTGCCAATTCTAATGGCAGAAGTGAGAAGATTCCTTATGGTATTTGCTATCAAATTTATGTTGTTCAACTGTAAGTTGTAATGTTGGTCTATAATTGTGTTGCAACCTCAAAACTCTCAACTTGTTATTAATGTAATTAAATATTCTTAAAGTTCAACAATCGATAATTAGACTAAATGTCGAAGGTTGATAGGTGCTTGCTCAACACGAATACAGTTACAATCGTTCAGAATATTTCACCGGTTCAATAGCAGAAAATTTGTTTTGGTTGTCGGATTTATTTGAAGAGATTATGACTGAAAAAGCACAGCAAAACCATATCAAAGATCACCGCCCATGCTATTAGACAGTTCTAGCACTTTACAGTCGTTGTCTTGCGCCACTTTTATAGAAGGTAAACACATTTCCAATGCAAATGAGACCGGGCTTACAACCGAAAGTTATTCGCATTAAAAGTATCAAAAGCGGAGCGACATAATTCAATTAAAAATTTTACCTACTAATTAATTGATTTGCGTTCTACGAATATTAATTAAGACGTTTTCACCGGCCAATTTGTTAATAATTAGACAGTGGCAATTAGGAGTAAAGAAAATCATTTTTGTTCCAATGAAGGTAGTTCACCTGTTATATTAATTTAATTAAAAATGTAATGTAGGTACTAATTGATGGATTGTCCCCCTATTAATATTGATCGTGGTCGCTAATATCAGTTACGAGTTGGTATAAAAAGTAATGACACGGCGTACTACACTGGCGAAGTGAACGTTCATTTTACAACGGAAATGTTTCGAACCACGCGAATTATTGCAAACATAATTTAAAACATCAGCGACGCGCAATTAAGCAACGCTTTCCGCATACAACAAAATCTGCCACAAATTACTGCACGTAAATTATAGATGTGACATTACATGTTGCGGTCTACTATCTAAAATTAGGAAACGCGTAGTAATATAATAATCGGGACGTATATAACGCGATTGGGAGTTCGTCCCGACACTTACCAATTATTTACTTGTAATATCGTTAATCCAGTATCCTGGGCTAGCTGTTTTTTCTGGTCTTCCGAGGGGTACGGATGCTGAAACAAGAGACGCAATTAATACATGGAATGAATAGAGTGCTATGGTTTATAAAACAAAAAAATATCGTGTTTCCGAAGCCAAAGTTGTAGGTGAAAAGTATAAAAGGCTTGATTGAAGGCTAAAAAGGATTTTTAGGGTGGAGTCCCCGAATGGTGAATAGAGGAATTATTATCCCTGGATTAACGGAGCCACATTCATTATACATATATCGTATTTCACCTTTGGTAGTCGAGAAATATTTCGGGAATATCGCGGTATAACAGCTGTTCAAAGTTAACATCTCCGACACTGAAATAACTTGCATAATTTATACAGTCGAGTATTTTGACGGGAGAGTAACAAGTGAGATGCTCAAGTTTGATGTGTACAGGAAAGCAATCTAGGTAATTGGCGAGGGCGAGCAGTCCCCTACGAACAATCCAATTTCTGCGAAAACAATAGCTGTAAGTGGTGCAGGGGCGCCTCGTTTCACACGATTTTTTCATGGTCTAGATGTGCGATTATATTTTGAAAATTTTAGTATTAATATGATTGATTTATGTAGCCCAATGCGGAGTTTATGGGATTTTCGTGACCATACCAAATCGTAAATACTATCTCTAACAATCTAATTAAAAAAGAACAAATTTTTCGGCAGTCAACACGATAGGTCACCATTAGAAAGTCGAATTGCCGTAAAAAAGACATAACAAAGGCTATGATGGCTTTTATATGCCGCAATCATAAATTACAAGCAAAGGAGGTTCGTACAAGGTCACCATTTTAGCATTTATTCCAAAAAAGGATTATGATATATGCTAAGGGGTGAACTAAGAATGCAACTTGTTATTATTCTGACAAGAGGTGAAATTAAGTTCCTCGTAATGAGGGAGACTGACTCGTTAACAGGGTTTCAGTCAGCAAATCTGTCAACTGGCACTGTGCGCCAATAGTATTTATTACCTAATACTAAGAGGGACACGAACGGTATGGCAAAATTAGAAGTGGGTGTATTTTATACATTGTGACACGTGATTATCCGTGTTTTTCGTAGCCGTGATCGAAGCAGGCGTGTCAAACATGACATGCTCTAACTTGGAAGGCCGCTATTATTCGCGCACAGTCGAAGTGTCACTTGGTTCCGTCGGCGGTAACAGAAAAAAAAATCGGCACATTTTCTTTTAATTTGTAAAAGTATAATAGCCCGATTGAATATTTTTCAAGTCGTGCCTCGAAGAACAAAATAAAAAGCTAATTTATTATTCAAAACACGTCTCCCTGTAAATGGTAATCAAAGGATATTCTAAATCCTATTTGCTAGTCGCAGATTGAAGCGGGAAGGCCGTTTAAACACAACGCGCGCTTCTATTGTCGAACCTCACCACTTTATACCTATTGGATGTGTTTTATTGGCAATTTCATCCACAGGTCGGATGTGCGCCATCAAATAACGTGCGCTGTCACTATGGGGTGCCACGTTTTATATGCAGCAACTTATCGTTTCGCAAAGCTCAAATAAAATTTCCGAAATTACTGTTTAATGCTCGATATAACAAAGGGACAATTAAAATTTTTCAATTTACATTTTTTACTTTATTATAATTTCGTAAACATAATTGCGCATTAACATACTTCCCTTAAATTACCTTACACGCTTCGGGCCAATATAAAATTGGTTCCACAACGTTTATCTAACATTATCAAAATTCTTCCTCAAGGGTTATTGAAAACGTAACAAAAGTCGTTCCAAAAAGCTGTTGAGCGATTCGAATTATACGAGAGAACGGAACGGAATATGCATATTTATATCACGTTTCCGTAAACGCAGACTGCAATATTTTACTTGATCGGTATTGATTTCGTTAATTGAGGGCAAAGAGGAAAACAGAATTGGCGCAGTCGCAAATAATATCAATATAAAGGTAATCGTCAAGGCATTTCAAAACTGTATATTAATACGAATTTGCCACGTAAATTCTAACCATAACAATTATTTGAAAAAAAAAGTGCTGTGACCATCTAGAAAAATGGCGAAACTTGATTCTTCGAAAAAGGAAATCGATTTTAAACTATCCTGAATTTAGAAATTGTTCCTTGTAATTTACCATCTGCTTATGTTGCAAGGCGTCTTTGAGACATGAATTTAAATCGTGCATGTTACATTCAACCGTCCGACACCGACTTTGTTAATTACTCTCACTTGAATTTACACACTACATTTTTAAGTGGAGTGGGTTCTGGCGGATTCTCAACACCAATTATACTTCTACTTTGCGTTGTTCCTCCGCCATCTGATTTTGCACATAGAATTTTTTTTAACAAATAAAGAACGGATGCTGTATCTAGCCCTCCAGGTACCTTTATTTGAACTAAAGTAAAACAATCTTTCAATAACAAAAGAATATTTTTTATGGTTTCGGAAACACATCGCCCTTGGCTTTCAGTGCCGACCTGAAAATAAGTGGCTTCGACAAATTTTGTTAAAAAAAACACAAAATTGATAACAAGTCCGTCTGACCGTCTATTTTTTCGCCTGAGGTCTGATAGCAACAAAGACAGTTTGTACGGAGCATAGATGGAATTGGATCAGTGAGCCACGGTGAGCCACCGTTTAGAGTCAATCATTAGTCAGAGTGTAAATATCAACCATCAAACATTCTGTGTGGAAGGTGTCGATCCGGTGCTACTAGTGATATTGGGTCTGTGGATTGAGTCAATCGAATCTGCGGGGCAAGTTTTCTTGGGGCGAATATTCCAGGAGCGAATCTACCGGGACGAGTTTTCTGGGCAAATTTACCGTACACGATATCAACAATATTGATCATAACGGTAGATCCACATTGTTGTGTAAACTACGTCGGATGGACATCTTATTTGGATCGGCACATACAGTAATTATGGGCCATCCTGTATGTCTAATTTTAATGTTAATAACGTGGCCAAAAATGGAATTAAGCTTAATTCCGATCATCTTAACTGATTTCGAAGTCTACGTTATTTTGTATCACAGTTGTCAGTTGTTAATTTTGTTTAAATAATTGCTTTGTTTAATTTGTATTTTATTGTAACGTTATTTTGTGTTAGTAAGATAAGGAATATCTGGAAATTATTTGCGTAGTATTTGTATAAGTTTATCTCATGTTTTTCTCCGGTCGAGAAGTTTTCTTGTCGGCACTTACGCTAATTAAATTTTAGGATATGGACGCTTTATCATCGTTTTGAACACAGGTGCAGTTTGATCTTTCGAATTATTCGCATTATTTTGTTAAGGAAGGAGGAAGCTTTTAAATAAGGGAACTGGACATTAAACGGTGCCTTTTGTTGGTCAAGCGTTGTTGGTGGTGGCTCTTTTTTTGGTAAAAGACGTTAATCGAGTTTCTTGGACGTTGAAACGTAGCCATATTTAACCTTATTTGTTTGCAAAACAGTCAGTTTTGTCATTATCGAGGCTTTTTGAAGATACAATCATTCTTGTTTAATTGTGAACGTTATAAGTCGGGTTAAGCGGAAGCGTGTTTTACGTTTCCGAAGAAGTTTCCGAGTACGCGTTAAAGGCACAATCAAAGAGCGAATTTATATTGGTAATTACAAGTTAACGTAATTAAAACTTTATTTAAATTTCGTTTGTTTAATCGATCACTTGTTGCGTGGTAAATGTGTTATCTGGCCCAGAGTGCCTATTTTTATTTCAGCTTTGATTGATTTTTGGAAAATAAATTTGTTTTGTCTCTAAATGTTTAGTCTTGTGTTTAATCGAACCCAAATTACGACCTAGAAGGTGTGTTCATGTTAAATTTTTCTATTTCGTACCCAGAATTATGTTGGATGTTAATTGGGAATTTATAATTTAATTTTTTGAACTTTCGGAGGCCGTTAAGGCTTTATTAGTACCTGAGTTTAGTTGAGTTCTCTGGACAGGTTTTTTGTATGTGGCCAGTGCACACAGAAATATGTTTTTCACTAGATATCGTTAGACAATATATGGACTAATCAATATAATCATACTAGATACAGTGCAAGTTGCCAGCCTGACCAAGTGACCACATTATGAGAAATTGTGCGTGGATGCGAGCCGTACTGAATCACTTCCCAAATTAAAAGCAATAGTTACTCGCCTCAATTCACCAGCCCACTACAACTCGCGTATAAATATATAAGATATCGATATACATATGGGAAAAATATCACAGCACTTTACGAGTAATCATTGCGAGAGATCATACTGTTATTATTGTTGGTGGCTCATTATTACAATTTATAATTCTTATGGTAGTTGTTCGAGATGGATGCTTCTGTTCATCTTTTTCAATATAGCTTATTCTTTTGTAATTTTTTGTATGTACAACATATTTGCAAATTTGATCATTGTATTCAAGCGGTGTGACCCTACGGGATCATTGGATTTGGCCCATTTTCAATAGGCTGGTTACATATAGCATATAGGTCAATTGTGCAGTTTGAACTGAATCGCTCTAAACGTTTGGCAGTTATCATGTTCATAGACAGACAAAGAATACATTGGTGGTTCAAAATAAATTGACCATTAATTATTCCAACAACTCCTCTACATGCCATGCCAATTTCGTTCATTTTTTAAAACAATATATTTACTAAGCGGCATAGCAAAGTGATGCAAGGCTTTTTAGGTCGATGACGTCTGTCTGTTTGTGAACACGATAACTGGAAAACGCTTCGAATGATTCGGTTCAGGTCTTTCACAGTTGACTATGCTACATATAGCAACTAGCAAGCCTATTGAAAATGGGTCAAATCCAATGACCCCGTAGGGTCACACTGCTCTGCCACTTTTATAGATCCATTTTACACGCGGTTTATTTTTGTAGTAGACCAGTTCACAAATAATTGCACGTACCTAAGCATGTATTTTACTAATTATACTGTTTCGGGAAGGTTTCTAAAGCGGGATTCTGGATAATGAATTCCCAAATATAAACTTTTTCCAAAGATCGTTATTTTAACGATGACACTAGAAATTGCACGGCAACTGAATTCTTCC